AAATTAATTTATACAATATCCAGTATTGAATCCTTGATAGGCTTTCTTAATTTTAATCTTAACTTAAGATCATAAGAAAATGATTCAATTTTATTATTTTTTTATTATATTATTTTATATAATCAAATCTGTTAAAAAGATTTTTAATTAAAAAAAATAATTTCTTTTTTCGGTTAGAATAGTTCTTGGTGCTTAATAACAAGTAAATTTTTGCAAATACATTTTTCAATTTTAATGAACTGTGCACCGGTTTTCGAAACGGATTTAGAAACGCAATTCAAAGTAAGAATTCAAACTCTAGCTCTAGGTATTTTTCGCAATAAGTTCTTTTCAAATTTTTAAAATGTTTCTTAGCATCAATATTAAATAGATGATTATTTTAATTTAAGATATTAATATTTTAGTTTGCGATTGCATTTCAAATCCGACCATCCGAATAATAGGCATGCGGTTTATAAAATTAAAAACTTTGCGAAAATTTGTATGTGAACATTATTAAACACCAAGATCCATTGTGACAGAAAATAGGATTATTTATCTTAATTGATTTATTTTCATCAGTCTAATTTCTAATTAAAGGATTTTTATAAATTTAATCGACAGAAGTATCAGCATAATAAATGTAATCGAATCAATAGAATATAATAGATTGGTGATAAAAACCCAGAAATTCTCATTTTAATAAAAAATCGGTAAAATGCCGTAATCAAATATTTCATTCTATCAAATAATCAATTTAACTTGAGATTTATATCACTAATCTGTTGTTAGACTATCTACTGAACCGTCTAATCGAACTTATTTAATGGAATCTACTATAATCTACTAGTATAATATTAATATTTTATATTAAAGATTCAGAATGTATCCTTTTATTTTTACTTTTAACTTACATAAGCAGAAATTTAAAAAATTAATTGCAATATTTTTATCATAAAAATAATATACATTTCAATAGCAAGTTATTCATATGCTGCTAAAATAAACATGCATATCTCAATATAATAAAAAAAATTATTTTTTTTATATATTATCTAAAAGCTCTTTTGTGAATTTTGTACTATATGTTTCACACATTGGTATAATATAAAATAATGGAATAACTTGAAGTAGATAGAAGACCTTAAAAAGATAAATTTATAAAAGTTAATTTTCGTAAAATGTATAACTTTCATTTTTTGTACTTAAAGAATCACTTCGTATATAAGTAAAAGATATAATTAAATATAAATATAAATAATCTGTGTGACTTTTTTATAAATGTATATATAAATATATATGTTTTAAAATATATATAACTGCATTTGTGTCAACATATCACAATTAATATAAGGAATGTAACAATTGAAAATTACAACCATGATTTGATTGAAATATCTCTAGATAGAAACATAATGATTAACTCTTAATCATTAAACTGTATGCGATTTAGTAATTAAATATTTTTGCTGCGAATGTTTTCACATATCGATCTATGTTTGCGTTACGAATTGCATGATCCTTTATAGTAACACTATCCGTTTGTGTCTTATACAATATCTGACAAGAAACGAATCTATTTATCTTACAAAAATTCTGCTTATCAAAAATATTTCAATCTTTATAAATTATGATTTTATGAATTGTGGATAGAATCCAAAATTATATCTGAGTTGTTCGAGGAATACAAATGTGAGAATAGTTTGCGGCGTTAACCGAATAAATGCAGGTACATAGCCCTAAAAATAGAAACAATTTATATTGATTTTATCCAAAATTATTTAATAATATATCGATATAAAGACTTTTTTCAATCATACTTACTTTAAAGAAAGCCAGTGGCCCAAGTTTGGCAGTATATAGGAAGATTTCTATTAGGTTCTGTACAGAAAATATAATATAGTCGCGAATTACATATATTTTTAAATTTATTTCATTTAGATTTAGATCTACTTACTTTAAATTCTCCAGGCTTAGCATTCATTGCTCGTGTTTTAAGAACATCTAAAGGTTGCGTAAGCGTTGTTGCAATAGCACCCTATCAATACAAAAGGATGTAAAACATTATCTCTTTTCGAATATATCATAAATTTAGAAATGATAAGTCTCAATATTTATAGACACTCACTGCCGATACACTAGATAAAACGTGTGTTGAAGGATTATCCTGAAAATAGTCAGTTTGTAACAATATTGTTTTAATCTGATCATAAAAGCTCAATTGTCCGATAGTCATCAGTGCTGCTCTCATGGTCGCAGTCGAACACCCACTAAACAATTGACGAACTCCTTCTTGTTGAATTACACGCAACAATCCATCTAAAGCATGCTTATAACTATGTGATAAAGGAATATGTTAATAAGATCAACGAAGTATAATATAATCGAATAATAAGGACATCAATTCTTACTTTCTTCTTAGCTCTGGTGCTACTTTAATATCATTCTGCATGCGTACATTAATCACATCGCCAGGAGTTCCAAAGACACCGCCAGTAGCACCGGAAATTCCAGCCAACATAAGCTTTTGATAAAAAGGCAACGGATGACCAGACGATTCAAGTGTCTGTTTGCCGACCTATTATATTCAACATGACCTGTGTATAATAAATTAAGAAGAAAACGTTTATATACATATAGATGATGCACATAAGGTTTACATATACCGACCTCGTATGCTCCAAATCTTATTGTAGAATATGTAAGTTGGCGGAGTAGGGAAGCACTGAGTCCATTATATAAAGCTAATATTCCTTGTTTCCTAATTATTCCAATAGTAGAATGTACTACTGATAGCTTGCCTTCTTGTTGTGTTTGTAAATGAACCTAGAAAGAAGATCTGATCGTTTAGTCCCCTAATTTACACATTTCTTTATTCGTATTTCTGTATCTGCATTTAAAGAGAAGTGAGATATTTATCAGTAATTTGAAATAATTTCTAATTACACAAAATGTTCAAACTGTGTAATATCTTTCACTACTTTTACTAATAAAAAAGTACTGATATAAGAATGAACAAGACCTTCAATAAATCTAAAGGATGGGTCACACATGCAGCAGCTGCGGAAGAAATACCACCAAAGTACCAGCGTGATAATTTTTTACTCTTGTCAGTCATTGTTCTACTCATTTTTCCACTGTATACTAAGCAATAATTAGGAACATATCTATGGCACTAATGTTGACACTGGCACTGTAAACAGGAAAATTAATTAAAACATATACTGATTTATCCAAAAAGTTTATAATTAATTTATCTTACCTAATAAATTAATATATAATATAATATGCTAATAAAACAAAATGTTAAATTTTATTATTTAGTCACTATATATGAAAATGTTCTCGATTTTGAAAATAGACAAATAATTTACAGAAAAAGGAGACTAAAAAATTATCATATCAGAGTTTAGATAGCATAAAAAGAAATGCATATAGTTTCTACAAATGTATGTACATTAATATAAATTTATATTCTAAGTTAAACAGTTCAACTGGACTAATATTATTTGAGCTAATATTTTATTGATTTTGGTAAAGCTGCTGATTTATCTATTTTTTTCAACATTTCGAATATTTACTAATACTATATTTACTATTTCGATAGATTAAAAGAAAATTTTTATGACTCAATTATCCATATGAGTTAATAAATTGAATACATTTATAAAATAATTAAAATCTAACATTAGAATGCAAAAAACAGATTATAATACGTTTTACATGAGTACAATTATTAAAAACCATAAATGAACCGGAATTATATTATTAATAGAAACATCATTCAACACTCGGCAAAATAATTGAAGATAGAATTAATTTATTACATGAATTCGATTGGAACAATGTTATAACATTTATTAAAACAAGAAAAGAGCATTATAAGAATCTGATCTCTAAAATGATACATATACATATATCCAAAAACAAAAGCAAGATTTAAATTTGCAAAATGATACGGATTTTTTAAATCCGTTATATTGTAAGCTTTTTACAAAATCGTAATGCTTTTATGTTTTATTAATTAATTTACTACGTATAAATATGCTATTATTTGCTCATCAATCTCTCACAAACTCATAACAATTTGCATTGTATATACCTTTCATATTCTGTATTTTGCTGTCTTATCACCGTTATTTTATTACTAATATAAGTTAATTTTTAATTATTTTGTATATTAGACTATGATAGCTTTATAGTGACAGTTTAATATTTCAGTCATTTTTCGACTAATGATTTAAGTATTCTATTAAAGACGTTCATTAATAACTTTTTTATTTCTGGACTTTATACGATGTTTTTTTGTTTTGGTAAAGCACTAATTTTATTTTTATTTTCAATAATTTTACCATGTTCATTGCAACGCTCAATAATTTTGTTAATTATATCAATTTTATACTAAAGAGGACTCAAATCAAATGTCAAAATGTCTATTTTTGTATTTAATTCTTATTATTTTTTTGCACACGTTTATTCATAGTCGCGGCTTTCATGGGCTTTATTTGAATATATAATAATTTATTTCTTCGGAGCCTTGTTCTTTTATTAATATAAATTTTTTTACAGTATATACATCACGTAGCAAATTATATTATATTAAATACTCCGAAATATCTATTTTCTTTTTTTAGAAACTCATGAATTAAGATGTTATGAAATTTGCAATGTTCTATAATTTCTTACGCAAATATAAACCGAAAATTCTTGTTAAACTCAAGTCAGGTTAAAATTAAACCA